CAAGGCTGAATTCAGCCACATGATGGAGCTAGGCATAGTTAGGCCTTCCACTAGTCCATGGGCTGCACCTCTACATATGGTGTGCAAAAAGTCTCTCGTTGACTGGCGCCCATGCGGGATTACCGACGGTTAAACACCTCCACTGTGCCTGACAGGTATCCACTTCCCCATCTCCACGACTTTTCATCTAGCCTAGCTGGAGCAACAATATTTTCCAACATTGATTTAGTCAAAGCTTTCCATCAGATACCCGTTGCTCCAGAAGACGTTTCCAAAACGGCGATTACAACACCGTTCGGTCTGTTCGAGTTTGTCAGGAGGCCTTTTGGGCTACGCAACTCCGCCCAAACTTTTCAACGTTTCATCAACGAAGCCCTCCGCGATCTACCGTTCGTTTTTGTCTACGTCGACGATGTTCTGGTAGCAAGTTCCAGTGAACACGAGCACCTACAACATTTGCGTCTCATTTTTGAACGATTGAGCCAATTTGGCGTTTTCATTAATGTTTCTAAATGCGTTTTTGGCGCACAGTCGCTGTTTTTCCTAGGACATCGCGTAGATGCTTTTGGTTGTCACCCCATATATGCCAAAGTTTCAGCTATTCGCGATTTCCCTACTCCCCCTTCTTTTCAACATCTGCGCCGTTTTATAGGCCTTGTCAATTTCTATCAACGTTTCATCCCTCATTATGCTCAATTAATGCTACCACTTACTAACCTTTTACGCGGGAACAACCGTGAGTTTTCTTTTCCTGACACAGCTGTAGAGGCTTTCAATCGTGCGAGGAAGGCTCTTGCGGATACAACTGACCTTGTTCACCCTATACCTGATGCCCCACTTTCCATTGTGGCCGACGCCTCCAATTTCGCTATAGGTGCTGCCCTTCAGCAAAAGACGCCCACTGGCACCCAGTCCTTGGCTTTCTACTCTGCCAAATTGACACCTCCACAAACTCGCTATAGCACTTTTGGCAGAGAACTTCTTGCAATTTATTTAGCCATTAAGCATTTTCGTAATTATATTGAGGGCCGAGATTTTTGTATTTATACTGACCACAGGCCTCTTACTTATGCCCTCTCTACTTCTTCTGACAAGTATTCACCCCGCGAGGCCCGCCATCTCGATTTTATTTCTCAGTATACCACCGACATTCGATTTCTTAAAGGCCTTTATAATCAAGTTGCTGACTGTATTTCTCGGCCTGGCATTAATGCCATCACCCGCCCTTCCATCGATTTGGAGCGCATGGCAGAACTGCAAAATCAGCCGACTTTCAGTGAGAGCCTTCAACACACTAGTCTTCAACTCGAAGCCATTCCTCTTTCCACCACCCCCGGTACAATCTTGTGTGACGTATCGCGCGGTGCCTCCCGACCCGTAGTGCCAAACGAGATGAGACGAGATGTCTTTGCCGCGTTGCACAATCTAGCTCACCCTGGCATCCGCACTACCCAGCGCCTCGTCAGCGAACGGTTCGTTTGGCCAAGCATGAACACTGATATACGCCAGTGGACCCGTTCATGTTTGGCCTGTCAGAAGGCCAAAGTCGGACGGCACAACAAAGCCCCCATTGACACTTTTTTCGTACCCAACGCACGTTTTTCACATGTCCATATCGATCCGGTAGGTCCCTTTCCAACATCTCGTGGTTGCAACTACTTACTTACTGCGATTGAACGATTTACTCGTTGGCCCATTGCAACTCCCATACCTAACATAACTGCAGATTCCGTTGTTTATGCTTTTTTGGAACACTGGATCTCTCATTATGGCGTCCCCTCAACCATTACCACCGATCGAGGTCAACAATTCGAGTCTAGACTGTTTAACAGCCTTACCAACCTCCTCGGATGTTCTCGCATACGCACGACAGCATACCACCCCTCATCCAACGGTTTAGTCGAACGTTTCCACCGGCAACTCAAAGCCTCGCTCCGAGCTCATGACAACCCTTCCCATTGGAGCGAGCATCTGCCTTTGGTCATGCTCGGTATCCGTACCGCACTTAAGCCCGACTTGGAGTGTTCCGCTGCCGAACTCGCCTACGTTACTATCCTACGGATTTCAGGTGATTTTTTCGGGTACTCTCAAAGCTCAGCCGACTTGGATCCCAGCGATTAGGTGCAAAGATTGCGCCAAGCCATGACTCATCTTCCAGCCACTCCTCCACGTCCTTCAACAAGTAAGTCGTACGTCGACCCGAACTTACTAACATGTTCTTTTGTATTTGTCCGCATAGATAGCGTTCGCCGGCCACTACAAGAGCCCTATGACGGCCCATTTCGAGTACTATCGCGCAAGGCCAAGCACTTTACAATTGACCGTGGAGGCCGCACCGACGTGGTTTCAATCGATCGCTTGAAGGCGGCTTATACCGAGCCACTTCCAACTTCTCCAACCGAACAACCTCCACTTGGCACATTGCCACTTACTATTTCCCAGACTCCATTTACGCCCAATAACCCTGCGTCTTCCCTTATCCCACAGACTCCTCCCCTTACGCGCAGTGGTCGTCATGTCCGTTTTCCCGACCGTTACCAACTTGTACAATATGCATAAAACTCCCACATTTTCCTTTTATTAACAATAATTTTTTTTGAACATCGTTCTCCTAGGAGGGGGAGTATGGTCGTGACATTTAAGTCTGTTTTGTTTTAATCAGTTACAATACGCTTTAACACAGTTTTGAATAAGACAAAGAACACGCACGTGCACTTTTACCTGCCGACAACTTTGTTCTTATTTACTAGTCTGTAACTGTTGGGATACTGCTATTTTCGTTTCCTGGATAGCCTACTCGCTGCGCCCAACTAGTGGGTTTGTCTCTTACACACCCACCGCAAGCACCCAACTGCCACCATCGAGGCAAGTGGGAAGTGTGCATCTCGACTCGGTCCGCATGCGGTTTCGGCTGCACGGGTGACTTGAGTCCGAGACTATCCCGACACGTCAAGCGTCGTGGAAAGGAAGGTTGCTGATTGAGGCCTCCACTCGGTCCACGCTGTACGTCCCGCTGTGTGTGTGTTGTGTGGAGTGGCGGACTGGTGGGCTGAGGACGGGTTGAAACAGCACCTGCCACGGTCCTCTTATGCAAACGAGAGACACGCCGTTCAATCCCCGTTGTGTGAAATCCTGGTGTTGTGTGTATGGGGGGCCAGGTCGTACCGTGGCGCGCGCAGTCATGGTCAGTCGACCATGACAGCCACCGCGCCCATCCCCCACTCCAGTCTGCTGACCGGCTCGGACAGCGGCTGGGGTGTGGGAGTGGGAAGGGAGAGTGAGGTCGACGACTCAGTGCACTTTCTCCTCACTATAAACAATCTGACGCGCTTAAAGCTATCACGGTACGCTAAAAGCCGTGGCTTGAAAGGTTTCCAACTGAAGGGATAACTTGGACCTCCTGATGGACTCGAGGGGGTCTGAGAGTCAGTCTGAAATGGCTCCTTCTTAATGTGGCCTTTATGGCACTCCCAAAGTGTGGGATCGGAGCCAGGCGTCGGCGGTACGCCCAGGTGCGTCTTCAGCCGCGCCAGCCTCCAATCTCTGTTGTGTTGGTTGACATCCTGGTTATTTGTTGTGTGGACCAGGGTGTGGTGGAACGCCAAGGTGAGGATCTGTCCGAGCCATCCGCCTGCGGCCTCCCTCGTCTCCGGTCTTCTTGACTCTGTCTTGACACCGGGCTCGGGCGAGGGAGGAGAGAGTGTAGGTAGATGCTACGCAAGTCTACCGACACTGTGAACCCCTGCGCAAGTCACCGTTCCTGCTCCCACCGCTGCTGCTGTGGGGAACACGGTGGACATCATCGAAGTCGATGGTCGAACTGTAAGGCAGTCGCCGCGAGTGCGCTCCAAGCAAGCTGTTGTCTGTGTCCGTCTTCGAGGTGTTGTGTCCCAGCGCGTGTGTGCGCCTTTCGTTGCCTCCGCGTCCGCCAGCCAATCAGAGTGAGGACAACGTTGATTGGCTTCGAGCCCTCGCGAGGCTAGTGACAAGCCTCGCGCGTCCCAGCAGCTTATCGACAAGGAGTGTGAGGCGGACAGGAGAGCAGCGTGAAAAAGGCGGAGGGCGAGGAGACGCGAACTGCCACAGTGACCCCGGCTAGACCGACGGCGGCGCGTAACGTTGCCGAAGGAATTGTTGATGTGTGAAAAACATGAGTAACCATACGGTCAGGAAAGTGCACATGGCGTCCACTACGGGTGATATATACAGGGGGCACAGGGGTAGAGTGAGTATGGCTCGCGGTTACAGTGTTGTCAGTTGATGAAGGAGTATTTGCAGTTGTGGGTTGCGGACATGGGAGCAAAGGAAGTATACGGGACGGAAGGGTTGAGCGTAAGGGAGGGGAAAAGCGAGGCGGTGGGGAGGGTGAATGAGCAGGGGATAGGGAAGATGAAGGAACATGGTTAGGGAATCAGCACATTTTCGTTCTAGTGACATGTCCGGCGGCTCCTCCCTCTGCAACAGCAGCCTTGACCCGATCGACACTGACCACGTCCTCCTGGTCACCGCGAAGAATCCGGCAGGTCTTGACGTTGCGCGCGAACACACCGAACGGGTTTCGTATGGTGATTCCAGCGGCTGGCGCACACGGTCCCACTGGCCGAACACATGAGTACACTTGCCCGAATCTTTTTCGACATAAGACTCAGTCATTGGAGTTCGAGCTAGAACTGGGGAAAGCGGGCGCATAAATTGCCTCACGCAGTACACAAGGTTTTCAGAAGTCTCATCGGCCCCACGAGAGGTTGGAGTGATCATCTCGCCTGGCAGTCGGAGGGTAGTGCCGAAAACCAATTCACCTGCGCTGCAGCCCAGATCCGACTTCAAAGCTGCGCGGATGCCGAGGAGTGCAAGAGGAAGGTTGTCTGACCAGTTTCCTGGGTCTTCTACGGCACGCAGGGCGGTCTCTAGCTGGCAATGAAACGCTCGATCATATTGTTGGCAGTTGGGTGGTAGGCCGTTGTCCGAACGCGTGTGCAGCCAAGGAAATTGAGTAGCGTTTAGAAGAGTGCCGATTCAAACTGGGCACCACGATCAGTCGTAATCGTGGATGGGGCACCGAACATGGCGACCCAACGACCGACGAAGGCCTTCACGATGGTTTCAGCCTGAACATTCGGCAAAGGAATAGCTTCAGTCCAGCGGGTATATCGATCGACACAGGTAAGGAGGTGGGTGAAACCATTGGATGGATGCAAGGGGCCCACGACATCCAGGTGCACATGAATGGACCGTGCGTCGGGACTGGGGAAAGTGCCTGGTGGGGACTTGTTGTGACGCTGCACCTTGTTGCGCTGGCAGCTCAGACACGACCGAGCCCAAGCTTTGACGTCCTTCTTCATACCCGGCCAGACAAACCTTTCCGCGAGGAGCTTTTGAGAGGCTCGGATCCCAGGGTGGGAGAGTCCATGCAAAGTTTGAAATACAGCTCGACGCATCGAGGCGGGCACAAAAGGGCGATGAAAGGGAGTTGGGACGTCACAAAGTATGGTACCAGAACCGGTGGTCAGAGGAACATGTTTGAGTTGGAGACCACTAACAGACTCGTCACCAGGACAACCGACTCGCTGTTGCTCAGCCGCCATGGCACAAAGATCGATCCCGTGCGAGAGTCGGAGGGAAGACAGTGAGGGTCTGGACAGCATATCAGCCACCTCATTCTTCGTGTCATCAGTGTGGCGGATGTCGGTGGTGAATTGGGAGATGTCGTCCAGGTGGGCGATTTCCCTCGGATTGTATTTGTCGGAGTGGGAACGAAGTGCAAAAATCAAGGGGTTGTGGTCTGTGAAAACAGTGAGGTCACGACCTTCAAGGAAATGCCGGAAATGCTTCACAGCCAGGCAAATGGCAAGTAGTTCACGGCCAAAGGAACTGTAGCGTGTCTCGAATAGTATGATCTTTTTGGAGAACAAGGCAAATGTTTGAGTCGAATCAGCAAGGTGTTGTTGAAGGACTGCACCTTCGACTACGGTCGAAGCATCTACCATCAGAGACAGCTGTGCTTCGGGAGCGGGATGCGTGAGTAAAGTGGCATCGGCAAGGAATTCTTGATTCTCTCAAAAACAGTCAGTGCTTCACTAGTCTGCTCGAGGGGACCTTTGGGACCAGAAAGCGTGTTGGTGAGCGGCAGCATGAGGTCAGCGCAATTCGGTAGGAATCGACGGTAAAAATTGACCATGCCGAGGAATCGCTGCAGCTGTCGCTTGGAAGTTGGTGGAGGGAAATGACGAACAGCATCAGCCTTGGAGGGAGGGGACGCAAACATTCAGAGTCCACCTAATGGCCGAGGTATTCGAGCGACGGCACACCCAGCACGCACTTGGAGGGGTTGATGACAACGCCAAACTTGTCAAGGCGGTCAAACACCAAGGCAAGGTGCTCTTTGTGTTCTTCCTCATTCGGGCTGGCAACCAAGAGGTCACCAGTGTAAGCGTACACAAAGGGTATACCACGTAAGACATGGTCAATGAACCTCTGGAACGTTTGGGCGTCATTACGAAGACCGAACGTCATGCGGAGGAACTTGAAGAGACCGAAGGGTATGGTGACGGCGGTTTTAGGAATGTCCTCAGGGGCGACTGGAATCTGATGAAAAACACGCACCAGATCAATCTTTGAGTAAACCGCTTTGCCGAAAAGGGCTCCAGCAAAGTCCTCAAGATGAGGCACGGGGTACTGATCAGGAATGGTAGCACTGTTAAGGGCTCGATAATCGCCACAGGGTCGCCAGTCGCCTGATGTCGCCTTGGACACCATTTGCAGCGGGGACGCCCAAGGACTCTCGGACGGTCGAATTATCCCCAGTTGCAGCATGTGTTCAAACTCCGCCTTCGTGGCTTGAAAACGCTCCGGTGCTAGTCGTCTCGGCCGAGCAAACACGGGAGGACCTGAGGTGCAGATATGGTGC